TCTCAAAAATCCTTTCGGGCTCCGCCCCAGTGGGTCTGTAGTTCCCCATGTTAACCTTATGAGTATTCATATTTAAAGGGAATTAAAGAATTTAGTCAGCTGTTTCAACTTTACAAGTTGGTTCTATAATATGCAATAGCATTAAAAAGTTATAAGGTTTCCCAACAGGGTGCAGCACTATTATTATTTTGTTTGTGCATATATGACAACAGCTAATTTGAACTAAGCAGCAACAAAAAACTGTGATACACAATGAGAACTGTCAAAGTAGGATTGTTTACAGTTAGGTTTGAGTTTTTAACTTAATGAATAATTTGTGATATTGTGCGAATGTTTGATAATTAATTTTTTTCTATTGTTTAGGTGCAATGGTAGAACATTACGGCAATGGTAGATGTGTTATACTATATCATACCGTAAATTTATGAACCAAATTTTATCAAACTGTGTCCTCCCCCCATTGCAAACGCAAAGCTTGAGTATAACTGCAATAAGCATTTTATACTTATATGCCAACCCCGTACGAAGGACGGGTGCTCTGCTAGTATTTTTATAATCTTCAAATATGCTAGCTAAGAAAAAGATAATGTGATATACTGTCCATCTCATTTAGTTAGTAACCCAACTGCAGTATTAAAATAAAATTTTAGTCAAAACAATAAATTTTAAATTTTTTTCCGTACGTTCTATAAAAGGTATGATATGTTGACAAAATAATTAACTAAATAACCAAGAAAAAAATAAGTAGTTTTGTATAATTATTAAGCTGTAAAACGATTGACAGCAAATTAATTTAAATCAGATAAAGTTCGGAATTTACTATTAAGCTGCATTTTTAATTAAATGTAGGATTATGAGTAAAGTAATTCCTAAGCGTTGCGATTTCATCATTTCATGCAAACTGTAAACTTATAGAGTAGCAGAGTATTTATTTCGTGCATTCCTTATCCTTATTTTGTCATCCTACTATCTGCAAAGCAATAGTACAACGCGTGAGGTATTTTATGAGAAAGGGCGCATACTGAAATCTGTAAAACCTAGTGTGTGTTACGAGTTATTTAAATATTTTAAGTGATAGGCCTATACACGTTTTTTAGTCCCTTTTGAAATAAATTAACCAGTTTGTTTGGCACTTTTTAAATGAATGTATTTGACGCAGTTTATTGCCAAACATTTAGAATAATGAATTTCCCCAGCGATGTAACATTTTAATATTGGCTATACTCAATTTAGGTACAATAAAACATTTTCCTATTATTGTTTAGTTAATTAGAAAATTGTAAGGCCCAAATAGTTGTAAACAATTACTCGATGGTTGGCCTACTCAAATTATATTCCACTGATTTGAAATCCGATGGGGCAAATCCCTTATGGTTGGATTGTTTTTGATACACATCTCTTTAGAGTTTTAGTTTAGTCACAAATTTACACGAGGTTTTGCGTTAAGTCTTTTGGAAAGCCAGTAATTGTAATACATTGTTATTCTAGTATCTTCTGGTTCAATAATTTTCGTGCATAATAACTTGTAAGTTCACATTGATTTAAACTCTGGATACAGTATCTCAACGTAAGTTTAAAAATATTCTCTTATTTTCTAAACCAATTAAAATGCGTAATGAACCTATCTCATTTTTATAAAATAAAAAATTTACTGTTAAACGCATTTTAAGATTGGAAAAAATTATTTACGAATATAACCATTTAAAAAAATATTTGAGGTAGTTATAAAACGTTCTTGAATCCTTCTAATCATAGTAAACAGGTTTTCGAATATTTATTTGGTTTTCCCCTGGTGTATTTTCAAGGATTTGCAGAAGTGAGTCTTATTCACAATTAAATGACCTACTAAAATGTAGAACGAGTAATCATCCTTAGTAAAACTTGTACTAATTACAGAATTCAATGGGCTATACTATTTTTGATAGTTGAGTCTTTAAGCTATTGGCTTGTTTATTCAGGATATTATACTACGTAATATAGACTTTTTTACAAAAATCCAAATAACATAAAGCATTTTTTCTTCAATTTATTATACGGATCAATGTGCTACCTCGTTTATTAATTGGATTCCCAAAGGATAAATAGAATCCAAATCGATCTCGTATAGAATAGAAACAGAAAGGATTACTTGCAAAGCAACTCTTGAATTAACGGCTGCAGAGTGGAATTGAATACGAAGCGACTTATGATTTTGAAGACGTAACTATACATCTTTCCTGTAGTTAACTCTTTTAGTAGTAGTTTTATCATGGTTAAAACTGTTTGTATGGACTTAAGTATTTTGCAATACAATCTTAAAAATACCATCTTTTAAGATCTGACCTATTTATAATTATTATATCAAATCTTAAAAGTTGGTATTTTCAATGCTACTAATAAGTGTAAGGTTCTCCTTAGTTATGTGTTTGTTTGGCTCTGTTCCAACTATATACAAACAATCACCCAAAGACACTTAATTAATTTTCCCAAGTCCTTTCTCGAGTTAGAGGACATACCACGTCTGTGGTGTCCAAACAGCATATTCAGAGATACCAATAAACTGGTAACAGTTCTGCTAAACTAGTAACAAATAAACTGGATAAGTTTTTTTAAAGCCAGACCAAACCACACCAAACTGTCTTAGTTATATTCTCCATCATAGTTTATTTATATTCCTTTCATCGTCTGCATGGGTCATATCACTATATTTTACTCGTACACTTACATTGCTGCTGAAATACGCAGGCCAATTATTGTGTGCTGCTGTCTCAAGGGATTGGATGTCTGATTGGAATGGACCGTCTTCATCGATAATGGATGCTAATGAAATGCTAGGGAATCAATAACGAAAACTTACTAAAACGGCAATGTCATCAAATTCCAAATTGCAAAGCAATGCAAGGTGCGATTAAAGCTAAAAATGTTATACTAGTACGTTATCTTCAATCTCATAAGTAATTACACATTATCAATGTGTACATTTAGATTTTGCAGTTTTTGATGTTTTTTTGTGGGATGTGTATTGTGTAACTTGATTTTCTGTCTTGAAATTAGTTAAGACTCCTTGTTTAAAAAAAAATATTGGGATTTGTTCAAATCTGCAGTAGGCTACGTAAAACTAACAACTACAATCTTTGCGAATGTAAAACACTCTAAATTATTTATCACACACGATATAGTACAGTCCCGGCCACGTAAAGAGAGAAAATGTCCAGGTAGACCCGGTCAGGCCTAATCCGCTGTTGTCAAAACATAGCTATTGTTTTGAAACCGAGGGGGCGCGCTACCCCATCCCAGCGGTCATTGCTACCTCAGCGGTCATTGCCTGCTGCTTCTCAACATCGACTAGCCAATCAACGAAGTGACGTAGAATTGCGATTCAAATTTTGTTATATTCGTCTTCACTTTGTGAATAAAATGACCTGTCACTTAATTATAGGCGATCACCCGTTCGATTTATAGAATTTGTACTGGCCCGAGTTATTTCTAAGAATTAAAGGGAGGCAGCAGGCAATGACCGCTGGGATGGGGTAGCGCGCCCCCTCGGTTTCAAAACAATAGCTATGTTTTGACAACAGCGGATTAGGCCTGACCGGGTCTACCTGGACATTTTCTCTCTTTACGTGGCCGGGACTGTACTTCTAACTACTATATTCAGTAAGATATATTCAGCTACACAGAATTCATTAGGGGATAAGACTGGTCCAGACGACTTGGAGTTTCCTGTTTGTTATTCGTTTCTATGTAGAAGAAGCACTTTTTAGTTCACAGCCCCCTGTGCCGTTATGTCGTTGGCTTACATTGTTTGTGTGCCCCTTTCCGGATTACTAAATCATAGTCTTCACAAAGGCAAAACAATACATTACATCATTAAATTTACTCATACACTACATACGTAGAAGAATTCTCGCATAAGAACTTCCTGTGGCTTTCAAAATCAATCCGCCTAATCGAAAGAAAAATTAATATTCATTACAGTATTTTGAAGCACAATCATCTGATTGCTTAAAGCAGCATCAATCACGTCTAATAAGTAGTACCAAGAGTTCCGGATACATAAAAAAGTGGTAATACAGCAAACGATTGCCCAATAATTTGTAGTTTTTAAATTATATGGGCTCGCGCCACTCTCTCCGAAACTTCAGTGTATCACTCCGCCTTCACGAGTTTCCCCGCTTGGCCACTCTGCTGCGCTCCGATCAGTATACTCAACGCAATTACTTGTCACAAAATTACACAGTTATTTATGGAAATAAAAATTCCAAAATTTAGTATTATGATTATAAGGCACGTTTCTAGCTAATGTATTAGTTATTTTTTGAAAATATGGTTTAGTTTGTAGTTAAAAAATATTTGATTTATAGCTCACTAATTTATTCATATTTCAAAATTTAGCCTCGTAATGAACAATTTACGCAATACATTAGCTAGAGGACTACCATACCTTTAATTTGACATAAAAATTATATCTTTACAACAATCGGAAGAGACGTAATACCGCCACCAAGTTAACATTAGTCTTATGGGACTAAGATTCAAGATGGCTACCACTGATGAAGACTCTTAAGCTTTGCTAAATCTATGAAACCAGTTGTAAATTCCCTTTTACTCTTCAGGCGAACGAGAGTGATTTTAGACAATGTTGGTTAAATGCCTAATGCCTGCACTCTTGGGGGAGCCAACTGGTCCAGGATCTCGAGGTACCTAGTTCAAATTCTGCCAATCCCCAATGGATTTTATCCATGTGATAAATACCGCAACCCACCTACTAGCCTAAATTAAAGTGTTAAACAGTTCCGGGCTGGAAATAGCGTCCTATGATGTAAAGTAGGGACATAAAAAGACGAATTAACTGTGTAGTGTGCCAAACAATAATTTTGATTCGTTGTTTGGTCGAGATTGGCAATGAATCTTATTTTAGGTAGTAAACCAGTATATCTAAAACCAGTAAATCACATGGTCTTCATAATTTTACCTTTGGAAACGTTTCATTTATAATTTTAAAATAAAACACTATAACATGATATAATAAAACATTATAATCATGGGTAGGCCACAAAATAAATAAATACAATATGAATGGTGTGACTAAAAGTAGTAGGATAGGTACGAATAACACTTTTCAATACATTTGGTTACATTCTTTGTTGTGTTCTAATATTATATGTTGTCGTTGGTGTTTCAGAACGCAAACGTCATAATTAAATAACATTAATATTGTGAAAAGTAAGTTTTCTGAAACATTCTCTTTGTAAATCAGAGATTTTTAATATAAATTTTAAGGTCTCTTTACACAATTAATTTCCTTAATTACATGATCTCTAAAGCTTGATTTTAATTTATTATAGCCATATTTGCTCGTAACCAAATATCCCTACAGCATATCCAAAACATAGGTACACAACACAATATATGACACAAATAAGTACTCTCGTACTTGTAGGATAATATTAAACAATTAATTGTATAGTGTTTTTAAACATTTATTTATAAAAAACCACGCAACACTAGACGTGTCAAGATACAAAAGGGGGACAGATATAATACAATGGAATCGATGAAATCGTGATTTAAATATTTTGATTTTCAAGTTACAGCTATGAAATCAAAATCACAATTCCAAAGCTGTAACTCAATGAGTAAATCGTTAGGACACAGGATCACTTCACTTTGGTCCGTTTGAACTCGTTCACTAATGAGCGATTCTCTCTGGAGAGTCGTTCACTGATCAGTTCTTCAGTAGGTAGGTCTCGCTACCGCGGGTTGAGGTGCTGAGCCGGCTCCCAGCTCGTTCTCCTCGGGATGAGCCTCGATGTAGGCCAGAGCCTTGAGGATGGCCTCTGGGATTGGAGGAGGAGTCGGGAGATGGTCTCCCACAGGAACGAATCCGTTCTCGTCAGCGACGTAGGTGACGGAGATCCTTGTTCCATCGGGAGCTGTGTAGCTGTAGGATCCCTCGGCCACTTGGGTCTCTTGTTCTGGGTTGCCTGCGTTCTTAACGTACCCCTTCTCCTCGGCAACGATCTCGTTGCCTGTCTCGTACCTGTGAAAAGAACGATTCAGTGAAAATGTGAAGCTCTTTTTAATATTCACATTTAATGTTCACTGTAACTATAAGGTAGGCTCATGATCAAAGTAGACCTATATCTTAGTCTAAGGACCTCGTTGTGTCGTAGGATTGACGAAAATACTGCCTAACGTGTCTACACGAAGTAGAATCCGCGACATTTATTGCCTAGCACTTTAAATGTCGGCCAGTTTTTTCAACGTCGTGGTCATCCCTAAACGACCAAGATTGGATTGTCTTTTTACTTTGAGTTATTTTACATTGACTTTGTGTATTTTTGCATCGCTTTTCACAGGTTCCTTCTAAATAAATATGCTAAACCGCTTTACGATGTATAAATATTCTGATTAAAAAATACTTATTTGATAACCCATTGAGAAACCATAACCAATTTTTTTGTTTGTTTTTTTTTGTAAGGATCGAGCACTGAGTTACAAGTCTTAAGGTCACTAAGGTAGTTTAAGGTACACTGCGATGTGAAAGGTCATTTTGAGTAACCTCAACATAGTTCAACAAGGTTCAGGGCTAGAAGGTCAATGAAATAGGAAAGACCATGGTCCGTCATTTGACCTCGATAGTAAAATATCTAGATAAACGCTACGTATTTTAAATGTCAGATGTGGTTTCAGTGAGAATGTCTTTGCAAAAAAGACAGTGAAGTGCTATTAAAATGTTATGAATTCAACTACTTTTGGGGCCTTAATTTACATTTGCAAAAACTGTATATCATAATTTCGTTTTGTTTGGGAATAGCTTTATTGGTTAATTTTTATTAGTATATTTTTTTAGGAATTAGGTTTCTTTTGGGGCTTGACATATGTCAATTTAGTGGGGGCCCTATGTTCGGGGTTATTGGTCAGCCTTTAGGAACCAAAATATTCCAAGCTTCTATCTTCCTCTGCAAAGGAGGAATTTCGCCACTGAAAGCCATGCTTAATCTATTATTTATTTTCAATTTGATTTCTATAAGGTTTAAATGGAGAAACCTAAATGGTTACATGATCAAGTCCATGATTGGCCAATAGAAATTTATCAATCGCCCAATCGCACAATGTTCACCCGAAATGCTACATTTCCTGGTTGCGATCTCTTGTGTAACTCAGTTCGAATCACCCAATGAGACAGTGATCTGGTGATGACTCGGCTCAAACTACTCAATGTGTCATTAGAGCAACAATCACTCCTCAGCGGCTATTGATGGTCTGCAGGCACTTAGCGATGAAAAGCGTTGGGAAAGGCTTGAACTGATAATTGTTACGGTTGGATAACGGTGTGAGTTCAACTGGATCAATTGAAATGCTTGTAGGAGTTTGAATTGTAAGGTAGCAGAGTGTTAAATAGTTACATCGGTTGGATAACGGTTGTAGTCGTAAATGACATCATAGTGAGGAGGTACTGATTGATGTCCGGGGGATGTTTTACGAATGTTTCCTCTTCGAGCCCCCAGATGGACGAAATGACTGTTGAATGTTATGACAGACAGAGAGATACAAAGTTTTATTTTAGGAGATCCATGTGATTATGTATAGTTTATATTCAAATATAATAGAAATGTGAGAATGTTTATTTGTACTGTTTGGCCAATTTTTTATCATTCAGACTTGTTCATAGTCATCAAAATATTGCATTATTGGTAAGTTAAAAAGGTTAAAATTGTTAAATAGTCGTATGGATTTTGGTTGAAGCTAGTTCTCCGATACAGAGGAAAGTCGTTCTCAATAGATAAACATGTTTAGTAAATAAACGGGTCTGCAGAGAAAGGATGGATCCAAACCACAGGATCATGGCTCAGTTAATTCACCGATGCTTGTGGAAATTTGAAGCCGAATTGTCTAGAAGAAAACTTTTACTCAAACCACTACTCAAACAGTTCATAATGTTTATAATATACAGTAGAAGTAATAAAACTGTTGTTCAGAGACAGACATTACAAATAGATTCGGAACTAAAATTATTCACTATTTCAATCATTGATAGGACACACCAAATGAAAAAGTGTATAAAACACAATGTGCAATTCATATGGTGGCAAATTGACAAAGAAGACGATAAATGGAGGTAGCAGATGTTTCTCTTAGGCAACTCAAGATCCATTTATCAAACGCTAACCAAGGATGACACCTGGCTGTAGTTGCCGAGGGTCGGATTGGGCAACCTCCAAGGCGAAACACCACCTATGTACACGTGAAACAGGTTTAGGAGACTTATTGTAAGGCGCAGATACACGTTATTATAATGATACTGCATCGGATACAATGTCAAGATGCACCTAACAAAGGAATCTGGGACCTCCCGCGGTTGTGGATGTTTACGGAACATAAGCGAACGTCCTCTGATGCTAATCTTGACTATCAATTGACAAAAATGTCTGGACATTAGCTCGCTCTCGGCATCCGGGATGTTTATTTAAATTAATAGAATGTTATGCTAAGTGGTATAGTTTACGGAGCGTCTTCAAGGTTAGACTTTACCGCCAAGGGAAAGGGATGCGACTTGTTAATGTAAGTGCTATGATTCTAGGATGTTAATGTAAGATACCATGGAGTGTTAAGAAGTAGTTACGTTCAATCCATGACTCAGACTTTGTTAGTGAGAATTGTCTTTTGTTGCGTGTAGAGAGGTGTTTATATGGTGTGTTCTCACCACACCATATACATGTGCTAAGAATTGCTGTGTTTGAGGATTGCTGGGTATCATTTGGCCGTTCCCTTTTTACGTACTAACTTACTAACCCTAGTGGTAAATTAGACACATTTCCTTTAAAATGCCTACATTGAAGTCAAATACATTACGTCTTACTTAACCATATTAATGACTCGATAAGTCACTCATCTAAAACTGGATGTAATACTAGGAAGAAAATTTCCAAGGGTGACTTTTAAATACACTAAGTACTACTTAAAAGTATGTAGATTCCACCAAGTCATCATGCTCAACAATTGATTGATGTTTCAAATGATAACATTTAGAAAATTATTTTACAAATGTCCATATTTTTCGCATTTAAAGTTCACTTTTTTGTAATTTATTGATTTTGAATTTCAAAATGAGCCACCAAATACCAAGAAGTGCAATTTTGACATTTTTTAGAAGCCGAAGCCTTTGGAAGATCTACAATGATCTCATGCAATATTGTTGTTGAAAATTAAAATAAAGACTCTACCAAGTTTTATAGATATACCACTGATATTAAGTGTGATATTAAACTACCCGGGAACTACACTAATGACTGGACGACTATGCTACTTACGCCCATCTGTAAGAACCGTCTGGGTTGGGTCCCTCTTGCTCCGACTTGAGGATGGGGATGGGTGAGGTCTGAGGTTGTTGGGGTGCGGCAAAGCTCATCCCTAGGACGGCACAGAGAGCGACGATCTGCAACATAACGTTACAAATAAAAACATCGGAAAACTTAATGCACTTTAAAAAATATGCATAAATAATTGACAATTTAAATGGCACAAAGTAAAACTATATTTGAAACTTCTTCATAATATCGGTGAAAAGTCAGGCAGATATATGCAAATGATGACGTGGTTCATGACCAAAATCTTTATGGACGTTAGTGACGTCTTCCCAGAAAGCATCATAAGACACCAAGAGTTCAGTTTAAATTTTAATATTTCTAACTAAATTGGTTAAGTATTTACATTTTCTACGGTTGCAGAACTAAAATAAAATAAAACATTGCATGATTTGTTATCGTAATCTAACAATTTTTACCCACCACACTAAGTGAATGGATTTAAAAATAGCCACCATCTGTGTAAGTCAGTCACTTCATGTAGTTATTTAGACGTGGAATCCAACCACAACAGGTTTTTAAATAAATATTACAATCGACCACGAACTTTACACAAACTCTCGGATAATGACACACTTGCAAATGTCAATGTCTATTATGTCACTGGTGGCGCAACCTATGATGAGCCAAATAAGAAACATATTCTCCTTTTGACGCAACGCTGGTAAACATAAACTAATAGTTATTGCAAAACCGTGTAGGCAGAAAGAATGTTAACTGCAAGGAGTTGTGGGATGGGTATTTTTGTAACGAAGGATAAACGTTTGACATTTGCATTTTGGAATTCCAAATATGCTCAGATGAAGAGGTAAGTTGGGATGTTTTATGATAATTGGCTTGCAGGTGATTGCTTGGATTGGGTATGATGGCATAATCGAAAATTGTGGAGTTTTTTTTATCGTAAATCTTGTTAATGTTTGTGTCGAAACTTTACACATTCAGGAAACATTAATTTGAATTGAAAGTTATGCTATCCTGTAGTGAATTATATTTAAGTTATAAGAGATATAATATGTTTAATAGTTAAATATACTATTAAATTATATATACTATTAAATATAACTCTTAATATATTTAAGAGTTATATTTACTCAGGTATTTTGATCAATAGTTATACTTGTGAGGTAAAAAATACAAATGTTAGAAGTTACTTTTGGGTGAGTCTCGTCTTAAAATTAGGTGTCAGGGTGTCAAGTTTGATCTTTGATCACACCAATAACATTTCAGAGGGTCGGATTCTGAAAAATGTCAAGTTCACCCTTAGAAAATGCTCTACGTGTCTATAAAATAAATTTGAATAATTGTAAAAATCATATATCAAAATACTATGTTTTAGCTTCTTCTGACATGCTTTTGTTTGGTTGTAGATCAATTGATCAAGAGTTTCATGTACGTTGTTCCCATTTGATTGATTCATATTATCAACAACATGCTTAGCTTAATCTGTTTTTGTTTTTACGGTTTTGAACTATGCTGCTCCACATAAGTATAAAGTTTTAATATGTTAGCTGTTATAAAACAAAACACGTTAAGCACAAATTAAAAAATTCAATAATTTGAAATATTAGATAAATTCTGATACACCCATAATTCATCCCTACAATTGTAAACCCAACTTTCCTATGCCAAATGACAAACACTGTATAAGGAAACGTAAGGACTTGTATGTCCCTATAATCATGGAAAGGATATTTTCAATAAACGATGTCAGCTACGCAAAGTCAAGCTATATCTAGTAGCCATAGAAAGTCAAAGTGATAACTCCTGGATAACGAATCGTTGTTTGATGTCTGTGTGTGCTACAAAGCTACATGTTGCGCAACTGATAGTCTCCATGTAGCCTTTAATGTATGGCGTTGAAAGTTTTTGGGTGGGTGGACGTGTAATGATACTTATCTCAGCTGATGAGTTCTGTGGTTAAGGTTTTAACATGTAAGCAAGTGTGTAGTTTAAACTTATTGAGTTTTCCACACAGATTAAATAAACGAAGGAAGACTCAACACAATATATAGCTGTCGCTACACCACAATCGTCAATGTAAAAACAAAGAAAATTAATAATTCATCATGATAAACGGTAGAGGGAGAGGATAAACGTTAATTGACAGTAAAACATTATTGTTCAGGAATGCAACTTGTAGCCATAAAGTTATCCAGCTATTAACATTTAAGTTAACAATTGTCTTGTCTTGTTATTATCCTTACTTAGAGAAATGTAAACTCTTAGCTTGTCTGTGTGTGCTTGTCTGTGTGTGCGTGAGTGCGTGTTTATTCCAATGCGTGCTTTCCCACAACCTTACCATTACAACCCTATTCCCAAGTTCATGTTGAAAGCTTGAGGTTTGCGCAAACGTTAGTGTAATTATTTAATTATTCATTGTGTTGGCAGTATTGCCGTTGGGGTAGCTTGTTAGCACTATTGTTTATGGTGTTCTAGTTGCTGTGAGAAATATTTGGTGCAATACGATTGATCTGGACTCCCTGAATATCTAGAAACATTCAGTATGTCAAGGTAGGTCTTTGAAATCTAGTCACATTAGAAAAATACATTTGGAAAATAAGGATTGCTTGTTAAATTATTTAATTACGTTACAAATTATGCTGTTCCTAAACAAGTAAGCGTGATTTTAAGAGGAATTGGGGAACGTATGCAATAAAATGATTAGTCTTTTATTATTCATAGAATTGCGTGGTCATAGTAAAATATGTAAATCTGAAAGTTTAGTGATTAAATTATGTCTATTATTGCCACTATTTTGAAAATATTGGAAAACATAAGGGTGTAGTTTAATTCAATCAATAGTAGAAATATAACGCTTTGTTAAAAGTGTGTCCAAAGAAGACACAAACAAGAACGTGTATTGCAGCTATTAAAATATAATAAGGTCATTCTATTTCTCTAAACGATTAATGCGAAGTGATATGAAAATCAAATGACCCACTAATACAAACTGATCACGACACACATTCCAAACCTCGAATCAAATACTCTTATCGAACATGACAAACTGGTTGTGATGCATTTAATCATCTGCACGTCTGTCTGATTCGTTAATCCGTAACTCGGTGATCCGGTTTCTTGGCAAAGAAGGCAACCGGTTTAGCAATGAACTTGACTCGCAACCAGTTCGAACCATTTCACTTTCTCGAGGAATGCCGCTGTCGGTCTCGTGACGCAACCGGTTGACTGCCAAGTTCAATGATCCCACCGTCTTGTTTAGCGTTTCCATTTAAATTATAATGAGATATTTTTATATTACTCGAAGACACGCAACGGAAGATTTTGGAAGGTTTGAGAGTTGTAAATAATCTAGGACAGTTTTGGAATGCGATATTACAATAGATTTTGTTTTGTGTTTAAGTTTTGTAGCAAAATCAAGTAATGTTTTGTTAACAAAAGTAATTTGTGAGGGAGCACAATGTGTTTTACTGAAAGTGGTTTGTAGTATTTTTCTTCGTGATATTCTACACACAGTGTATTTATTCCGAGAATTATTAATGCTGTTTAATGTAGTTAGACCATTATTGCTGAAAGATTGTAAGAAAAATAAAATTTTTTTGGAGAATGCATATTTGTTTTGAAGGGTTTATTGCTGGTGTATGTATAGGTTTGTGGGCGAAAAAGCTTAAATCACTGAATGTATTGTATGCTTTGTATTGACAAATAGTTTTTATTGAAATTACAGGTATTTCATTCTTCAATTATTTTCATCCGCCTCTATTTTCTATTTCCATTTTACACCTATTTCTTCCATAATCAAAAGGCCACCAATATAACGAAATGATTAAATGATTATTAAAGGTTCCGATGACGTGTTTGTTAAGGATTTATACCTTTACGATAAGCTACTGTTTGTAGATCACAGTTACCCATCAAATAGTCAGTGATGACGAATAATTGTAGGTGAAAATACTAAGAAATATATTTTCGGGCTGTGTTAGTGACTACAGTATACACAAATACAGTGATTTCCCAAAAAGGTCACATCCTTATTTAAACACAGCTATCATTCGGGCACAAAGGTCAACCCCGGCTCTACCTACTAGATAACCCCGTGGACACTAAATTTCCCTCTGTTGCGCCGAAGAGGACTTGTGAAATACACTTGCCTCACCTTTTATCAACACCGAGATATCCGATTACACTATCGATATATCGATATGTGATAATCGATAATGAGCCACGTTGCAAATTGATTAGCATACGGTTAACATTTGCCGCACATCCCTGTGTTGTGTAACGGTGGGAACCGAACAGTTAATTGTACGGCGTGCATTGTGTGGCGGCCTTGCGGAGAAAGTGTTAAGAGGAGAGAAATGTTTTGGTTTATTGTGTCGTTGGACCTTCGGGCAACCTCGATTAGGTGTAAAGAAACAACGGGTGACGTCATACCCGTGAGTGTGAGTGGATATGAAGTGTTGACGTCATTGTGTTTTCTTTTAAGCGGTGCATCACAACCGGTAGTTTTGGATCAATTGTTGTGTGAACAATAGGTTACAAGAACGTGACATGCTTTGATTAAATATTTTCTGAAAGGTTATAAAATATCCTAAAATATTTCTAAAATTAATTGCTGACTATCTTCAGCTTAGCACAATGAACTAACTACAGTACTAACTTGAACGAGAGGAATTGAATGGGTTTTTTTGTAATACGCAATCGACTTGGACTCAGTATTTAAACTCATGTTGTAATTAAGTGTTGGTAACAAAAGAGTCATGAAAATTAAGCAACAATTTTACTACTCTAAGTAGAGTTTAAAATTGATCGGGAAATATTTTTTTATTTAATCATGTTCTTTTTTTGTCTTATTTAGTTTTTACTTTGGTGGAGAATTTAATAATACATTTATATAAATTGCAGGTGTACTTGAAAGCTTTTATATTAATAGTACTACAGGAATGTTAAAAGAACATGGCACAATTATTTGAGGGTGAATTACTCACAAACAATTCTTTCAGAACGTTAAATCTACAAGGGTCCATGCACTTACAGTTAATGAAAATTAAAAAAGTGGATTTATTATAATTTTTAGTCAAAATGTGTTTGTAAAAGAAAAAAATTATAAAAAAATTGGGTCACAAAAAACCTTGATAAACAATAAACATACAAATTAATTCTTGTTGTTTGTCCCATAACGAATACCTAATATATTTGTTATAAAAAATAAATTGTCAGGGATAAGAAACAAAATTAAATTTAAATTAAACAGAAAAAAAACCTAAGAGTTTCCTCCCTAAAACACTAATATATTCTGTATGAACAAATTCCACGAATGTTCATCTCGAAAGATTTATAGAGATATCTATAAGCAGATAAAGATATCTAGAGAGCAATTTTTAATTTCACAGTAAAACACGTTAAAAAGTAAGTTACATTAAAGTATTCCATTACTGAATCTAAAATTAATATAATTTAAATTAACTTGAAAAGTACACAGAAGTTAAAATATGAACTACGTTTTATAAATCAACTAAATGGTCCTCCAAGCTATCTGTTAACCTGATTAAAACAGAAAAATCATGTCCCAAATTCAAAACCATTTAATACATCGATGACTACGAGTTACTAAAAATTTCATAACCCTTAAAGACTTGTATAGTACTCTCACTTAACCCAAGCCCAATTAAGGCAATGATGAAATGCAGCGCCGTTCCCCAAGAGCCGCTGAGGTTTTGAGACAGCTGGTTGAACAGGCGTCACTCAGAGTTAAAGTTATGTTTCCTCAAACCGGTTGTTAAATGCCTAATTTAGAAACAATTAGTGGTAGATGTGACACGCTAATTGTAGTCCATCCTTTAATGGTTGAATTACAGATCCGCTACTGTTTTCCTTAATAGATTACAGGTTTTGTATTTGTAATAGGCCTTGTAATGAGATTACGCTCATGTAAAAATAATAGAAGAGTACTCGTGAGAAATATTTTGAGGATGGCAAGAAACGTTAAGAATAATTCTTAATTTGCTTAAGTAGTTCCACATGGACAGGTTTTATTAACTGAATTTAGTACTATCGGGTATCACAGGCCATCAATACTGAATTTAGGCTTTATAATCGTAATGCAAATTGCATTTTAGTAAATGCTATCGATTGCCTTTCTTTAAAACAGCTTAAAAGATACAGAGTATAAGACAAACATGGCTAGTGCCTCGTAATATTTTTTGGATAACACGTGTCGCCTTGCTACTCGATTAAACGTTTGTGTTATATACAAAAGAATTGCTAATATTTTCCATCAGAAAAGTAGATTTACGGACTCTTCTTGTTGATGCTTATTTATGTATTCCAACTAAATAACGATATAATAGGGTTTACTTTTTTCCTGGTTACTTAAAGACTGTTTGTACAGATCCTTTGCAAATACAAAGGTAAAACTACCTGTCGTCGCCTTGTGGTCCAATTTTACTCATAGGTTCATTTAACAGGTAACAAGGCTACAAAAGGTAGTTTAACCTTTTTATTTGTCAAATGGTTGGTCTGGAAACACCACAACAACGATTGAGATCATTTGCGTTTAGCCACTGAAGACAAGATCCAAAGATGCCGTTAAGAACCTGATTTCTCTACTTATTTTATGGAAAATGTATGTAATATTTGGTTAAATAACATAATAAATCTTAAACTAGTTAAATAAGGATCTTAAATATCAAAGAACACAGTGTGTGTGGCGAGTCGTTGAACGCAAGTGTCTCCTCACATCCTTGAAGCATGTTTGAATCAAGGACGACCGAAGAAGCGTGCGAACTACGCATGCCTGCCCACGGCTACCTTGCTTATAATTATACTATATTATAACACGTTCATATGTAAATTCGGTTCCTGATATTGTTGCCCTTCCTAGTTCGATGGCTTATCTTTGATGACATTCGTGAAATATTACCGTCCTTGTAAGAAAACTTTTCACGAGAATGAGTAGTAGTAAACACATTTGGTTATTTAACGAGTTTTACTGTTGAAACGTTTTAATGTTAGGCAAAAACCAATCTGACGTATAGGAACAGTTTTATATAAATGTATGTGTTTTAATAATAACACCGTAATACCAAACCAAAGTTATACTTGTTCACACGAACATAACAAATCAACTCCGATTTTACTAAATTTAAGCAAAGCAGAAGAAGAATCCAATCTCATTTCACGTAAAGCTGTTTTTCCTGTCTTCTAGTAAAACAAAAACATAAAGTTAAGCTTAAAGCATTTGGCAAAGGGTTTTTAGCTTATCAATGAATACTATTAGGGATTCGCCAAACTAATAAGAAATCAGTACGATTTATAGAAGTAGTATTGTTTTTATCTCTGTATAAAGAAGCTAAGATTATATGTCTAAAATACCAAAGCAGTAATGTTTTCCCCGTTATCATCAATGTCTTGTACAAGTAAAACCCTAGTATCAAAGAAATATGACCCACTTCAAAGCACTGCGTAAACAATATCGTGCTAGTTTTATCGAAATGAGTCAAATGGTTCTTAAAACTCAATCATTCTCCCTTTCTATCCAGTTCATAAAAAAATAGCAATTTATCCAAAATGTAAAATTTTGCCAGTGAATACTATGAATACTGCTACTTGATAGTATAATACATTTTTATCCAGTTTGGAACACCATTTCGTATAATATCAACTGTTGAAATTTGACTGTACATTGAAAAGTTATATCTATTGTAAGAACAACCTTACAAAGTTGGACTACACATGCAAACATCTATAGGTACTTTTCATTTTGTTTTACTAATAAAACATAGCCTACACATATTTTTGATGAAAAAGATAACAATCTGTATAGCCTATATAAAACCGAGATTTAGGGGTTTATAGCAACCCAAACAATAAACAATTTGAATAATTTTCGAGTATTATATCCACACACAAAATATCAACGCTTGAATATAGGGGAGGGGGTTCTAGGAAAGATTTTGCTTTGTTATTAAATACAATATTGTATTAAAATCCCCAAAAGTGTATCCTTACCATGCGTTTTGCTCATCTTAGATAATTGTGAACTGATAAAATAATGACTGAAATTTGGATGGTTATATTCAATAAGCTTTTGCTAGTATTTTTTTTTTTTTTTTTTTGTAGACCCTACATTTACAAGCTGTGCTATTAAGAAATCATTTAATTAAAAATAACCCGACTAAGTTTAGCCTATTCTTTATATTAAAGCGCCACTGATATACTTATAAAACAAGCCCTGACTGCTCAAAAATAGTTCTAAGGATTTTTTTATTATTTTATTTCGCAATGACAGTCTGAAGCCTTGATCGCTTATGGTTTAACTTCTTAACATAGTAAAATTCAATTATTATATGGAAATTAAAACGTATTATTTTTTTTATAAGATAAATTGGGTTTGTCTAAAAATAATTATATAAAACAGTTTAATAAATCTTAAACATGAATGATAAATCATTTCTTCTTAACGGCATAAAAATAAAACCTGGTCAATATAACATCACTTCTAGTTCCCCCTGAAAACTAGAGCTATTACCGTGCCCTAGAACAAAAAACATATCAAGGCCATGAAACGGCACACACACAAACGGAAATAAATAGTTTAGCCTCAGTTTACACAATTGTGCCAAAAAGTGTTCAACAAGTCAATCAACGTATAATTGCACGTTAACATTAATCTGTTTCATATACTACTCGACGCAAATAGCAAAAAAGAAGGCGATTCCGTAAACACTATTGAAGCTATGAAAAGGTTTTTTAAACCTCATTGTACATTTGATCCGTAATTTTACTCCCAGGTGTATTCAAAGAGTAGATTAAAATAACAACACGAGTATTTCATATTGAATTGCTTTAACTACTATAAACAAAGTTCAACCCTCAGAAAATCGCACGGGGGCCTTGGATAAATAGTCCTTAGAGTACAGTTAGCAATCTTACTGCTTTATACGTCTTCGTCGTGTAAAATATGAAAGCAAAACTGTATCATGTTTAGTGATACGTAGTAAACTACTTCGAATGCATCCCGAAAACACTGTAAACATCAGAAAGCTGCACGATGTAAAGTAAAACATTTTACTCCCTAACACGTGATCGACGAGCAAATATATAAAGTATTGAATCGCGTTAAGTTTCTTTCCCAAATGCGATACGACGTAAACCACTTCAAATCAATCCCGAAAACACTGTGAACCGCGTAAACCGCAGCCTCGGGGTTCTTGAGTCCTCTGGGTCAACGGTCACCACACACACTACACTCCTCCACACCTCCACTGGCACGTACCGTGTACATGATGATGGTAGGTCCTAGATGGAAGTCACTGACTGTGCCGGTCCATGGGTCGTCCACCATTTATACCCTTAGATACGACGAGTGGCGCTCCCCCTACCAGGCACTCCCACCACCACGATGCCACCGCGGCGCGTCTTACCACGCGGGAGGAAATCATCCGGATAAAGTTTTATTTCATTATTTACTGGATGGTTGCGTAGGCGTAGGTGTAAGTGATGTCATTTAGCTTGGATGAAATTAAAGGTATGGTTAATTTTATGCTGTTAGTTGGAGAACGGTGACTTTTGGTGTTGAAAGAAACTATAAAATAATACCCTAGGCCTGAACAAACGTAGAATTCGGAGTATTTTATAGTAAAATATTTCTTTCAATGTATCACTATTTAGGTTTTAGGTTCATTTGGCCATAACGAACGTAAATTTCTTTGCAACTAAAGAATAACTTATCCCAGGAGATTATTAGTGGATGTACAGATCTTTTTCGTAAAGCTTATATGTTAACTCACCAACACAATTCTTTATTATTATTTATCATCATTTATATTTCACTCTTTTAATTAGTAACCTCATCTGTACATAGTTCACAAATTGCCACTGCATATTTACAGCTTCAGCAGGAATCGTTATTTAAAAGCTCAAAAGTCCAAGAACATATTTCACGATAAACATCTATTTTTCTCTCGTGTCAACCACTTCCTGAATAATGAATTTAAAAAGTAGTGTATGTTACCAACTAAATAAGGAAGAAAACAAAATTATAACTTTAAAAATCAAATGTCATACTTTGAAATTTTATGATATCTTATGAAATTCGTCGGTATTTATGAGTATTTTAAACAAATACACACTGCATTAGCCATAAGAGAAGTGCTTTTTATTAACACTGTTTAATTAAAATAACATTTAAATTATTGGTTTTAGTTTAAGACAAACTTTTTCAAGGTGTGACAGTTGGGAATTTTATGACCTTTTTCTGGAAATGACCTATATTGTCGGTTTGGTTTGTTTTTATGTTTTTGAAGACTATATCATACAAGACTATATTCCCCGAATCAGATGAACAAACAAAGCTGGGGTTCAGTAACCAAAACCTTCTAGGGTATTGATCTCTTTGGTATGGTAACCAAGGATTATGCCAAAGCGCAACAGTGCAGTTTTGTTCATACAGAAAAACTGTTACTTCTGTTTTATGTAATGATGCAAAAAGTGTCAAAAAGGCAAATCGGTTTTTTTATACTGAACTTATGTTGTATTGTATTTTACACCGTATCTACCAAAATTATGCTATTTAAAGCACTTTTGGGTGAAACGCCTGTTTTAACATGAAAATCGAGTTTGAAAATCACGAAAAGCGGTATAAAGCGGCAATTTTTGGCACTTGAAAAATATTTTTTGGACTTTTTATTTTAATGTATTTGTCGTATTGTTTTTGTGTCATTAACTTAATACAACCTAACCTTACCTAACTTAACCTAACCTAACCTTGGTTTACACAAAAGTCTGTCATTATTTGCGTTTTGCTAACATGTTAGGTCGGGTTAGGTTAGGTTAGATTGAGTTAGGTTGGATTGTATTTAATTTGGTTCATCCAAAATCTGCCATTCTCGGCACTTTGCTATTTTTTTTATGGCGTTTCAAACCTAGTTTTCTGGGTAAATACGGCGTTAGCCGAAAAAAAATCAGTAATATCGTTTTTTTATTGTTGTGATTTGCGATTTCACATTTTTCACCTTTTTTAAAAATTTCAATGATAAATGAAAAAAAAAATTGGAATATACAAATAGCTAACTACAGAATACATAATTGCTATTTTTTTTTCAATGAAAAGAATAAAGAATTCCTACATAAAGAATCTCTCTCAACTTCTAATGCTAAAAATGTAAGGATAACTGGGATTTTTCATTATAAGCTAATTTACATTTTAGGGCAAAAACTAATACAAGAGATATTTAATTCAACATAAAGCCAATGGACTATTACTGATCTTTTCCCTATAAACCAGTTATTCTCCTTCTTCCGGGCACTATATCGCTCGATGTATCCAGCATTGGGCAACACGTTCTGTTCGCAAAGAGGTGGCAGAGTAGCGGTAGCGCGGCATTGTCATGATGATCAGGCCCTTTCTCTGTAACTATTGACCTTTCGCCATAAGTTACCTCATTTGGGTGATCCCTGGCTATGTGACGAAACTGCAGAGGGTAACTGTGTGTATCGTGATTTGTGATTGTTGTCTTCCCCGTAGTTTAGGTGGTGACGACTAAATCTCATCAACCATCTACGGGAGTTGCTGTTGTTGAGTTTAAATAATTTGTCACACCATTAATGTTTTTCTGAATTACCAAGAACTGATTATAGCTAAGTTGTAGAGATGTAAAAAAAATACCCGTGAAGAAGAGTACTGCGTCAATCTAAGTAATTATATTGCATCGGGAGTACTTAACCACAAGTGGTTTTCTGACGTGTTTTACACAAGCATTCTGCACAAAATCGTAAAACTGTTCAATTGTAGGGAAGTCATATTTATATTGAGTTTTACTAGCATTAACAAGTTTATTGTTTGACTTGAGGCTAGACCAATGATTTGTCCCACAATAGGTGTTAGGCTTTATGTAAGATTTTCCGTTGGGAGCACGGTGTTGCTGTAAACAGTCTCCTTATAAGGCTATTAAAGAATTTAGGTCTCGGTACAACTCTTTAAAGGTGGGACTTTTGGTGTCATAATTTGGCTGATTATCAGTTATTTATATACCCTTGTCAGTTTTTCATAAGGGCCAATAGGTACTGTTTTACTTCCCTTTAAATGATGGATTGTTGTTTCACCAGCAGGATGTAAAAGACTAGATTCATCTTATTAACTAGAATTCGAGCAAGGTACACTTTGATATTCGACCAAATAATGTCACGCATGCACTATTACTTTCACGCTTTTAGCTACAAGGTTACCTTAGTTTAGTAAATACTTTTCACAGCCTTGTCTTTAAGATTGGAGACACCTAGTTATGATACATTGAAACAACGTTTATTAGCTAAGAAAGAAAGTTTTGGTTAACACGAGTACAAAACTAAGATATGGTGACACATTTAACATTTAACACATTTAACATGTTGACACATTAAACATAAAATATTTTTATCAGCTCCAGCATAGCTAAATGCAGTTTAAAGTACAATTATTCCACCATCATTTAAAGTATGTGTCAATTACCACACAGTATAATTATACTTTTAATAAAAGTGTATAATTAGTTAAATTTATTGAGACAGGACTAATTATTTAGGCTAATAAAATACTACGATTTATTTAGGATTTTAGAAACCTAAGTATTTGATGTATTCTAGCTCATGGCTAGACAGTGTATGTTATCTATACTGTATATTAATAGGCAAGCGTGTTTCTATGAAAAACTTTTTTCTCAGTTCGTGTGCATCGCAGGGAAAATCTACTTATACTGTTATAAAGATATTTCCTGTAGGTGTACACAATCCCTTTATTAATTAAAATAGGCTAAACAAAGCATAAAAATGAATTTAAAATAAAAAATATATATATGGGCCTTATGGGTTGCAATGCTGGTGACGAAATAACAACGGAATACAAACAGAAAACCGAAAAAAATAAGAAATTCCAATCACATGTTCTATTTACAGTGTGGGGTGAAATTAGAGAAGTCTCTACATTACTTATTTTTTAATGAGTTTTCGACCACTGGACCACCTCCAGTTTATTTAAATATTAAATTCGCCACTAATATAAAAGCTATTAAATGAGAGTCTAATAAAATCATAGCCGAATGTAAACTTATTATTTTAAAGCTATATATCATGTCCATCCTAACAAAATACGCATTGGCCAATGTTAAAACAGCAAAGCTTTTCAAATTATTATTATAATAAATATTTACATGTATAACATATAACTGGAATCGTCCATTCGGCACGAATTAAATAACAGACGTTTTTAAGAATATAAAGTACGGGAAAAACACTTTCGCCCATATAACTCAAAGCTCACAGAAGGAGTTATATTTCATACTACACTAATTACCTACACAAACCCGATATACTACCTTAACAAGCCAGCCATTACCAAAGCTGTCAACTTGAGGTTTATTTAGGCCGGGTAATGGTTGGAGTAAAGTAATTGTGCATTCAGTCACGGAAAGCGATCTTTCACAGGTTTACAACCGGAAACATTCATAGAAGTTTGACATTTACATGTGAGACGAGACAGAATGTCTTGTCAGTTTATTTAGCGTTTATTGTGCAAACATCACCCGCCAAGTGTATATTGTGGAGGTGGGAGGTTGGAAGTTAGATGTCTGGAGGATCTTGTCATCCATCCTGGTTTGCTGAATTTAGTTTGTGAATGACACAAAGGCAAGTTTATGTATGAGTAATATTTAAGTTTTAGTAATATATAGGGTTTTTCGATTTAATGTTGAAATGCATTTAAAATTTGATATCTGCAATGTTTTCCGAATAACTGGCAGGGTTCTAATAGGGTATATAGTACGGATACGTAAGTTTATTTCGTTTTATAATTCTTCCTGTGTTGCAGATTGTGGGTATTAATTTGACAGTAAACTTTTATAAAATATAAAAATGTGTTTTGATTGATTTTCTGAATTTTATCTCTATATTTTTTCTTTTAAATTATTGCTACGTATTATTATAGCTAAAGGTATAATTGAGATTTATTAAAAAAATCTTATAAAAGGTATATAAGTTAAAACTTATAATTAAAAAAAAAACTTAAAAAACGTAGTATGTTTATGAACAAACTCAATTTCCTTTATTTAAAAGTTATTTGATTTGTTGAGTTGACACTCACGTTGAAAGGCTTTTTTATTTCTCAATTTTGTATATTCAGTGACAACACTGTCCTTTGGATGAGTTGTATACAATTAACTAATATTATTAAATAATTATGACGTAGTTAATGTGCGAAATTTGGCAAGAATATAATTTAATTCTTGCTTATTTATAACCTGAAAGAAGCTAAGATTTTCTTGAATTTTATTTAAGTAAAATATCAAAATTAAGCTTAAAATTTA